ATTCTCCAGCAATGGATTCCCGTGAAAAACAAATTTGTGAAATCCAGAAAATGAATTCAAAATACTGACATTAAAGAAGCTCAATATAAGAGGTTTCAGATAAACAATATTTAAAAATCTGAAAAACAATTCAGGATATAAATAAGAAATTTACCAAAGACATAGATATCATTAAAAAGTACCTAAGGAGAGTGAAAGTCACCTGGTGGCCACTCAACAGACCCGGAGACAAAAACTTCTTATCTGAGCAATTTAGAACGGAGCAAAGACTACCTGGCAACCACCAAATAGGCCATCCAGAGGCAAAACTCCTTATCTGGGGAATTTAGAGGTAATCAAACCTCCATAGTATCTGAAGTTGGCATCTGATTCCAGTCCTCTTTCAATTTTTGTAACTAAAATTTCTATATATCCCATGCTGAAAATAGTGTTATAACCCTAAGCTACCATCCTAAGGCCTATAAATGCTCCTAAGGAAAATCCACCACAGTGCACTGTCCTCTCACTGAGGCACCCTGCTGTACCCTTTTGCAGAGTTCTTCCTTTCTAATAAACTTTCCTTTTTCAAACTTAACTGTTGTCAGTAAATTCTTTTTATCAACCCATGAGTTGACCACTTCCTGGTGCCAGGGCTCTGACACCTTGCCCAGCAATCCCCAAATAGACACACTTGAAAAAGGTATTCTCCACAGCACATTACAATCAAACATCAAAGGCAAAGACAGAATTCTAAAAACAAGAGAAAAGCATCTAGTCACTTAGATGCTTAGAATCCCCAGCAGACTACAAGCAGATTTCTCAAAGAAACCTTGCAGGCCAGGAGAGAATAGGATGATACTATACCCAGCAAAGTTATTCTTCATAAATGAAGGAGAAATAAAGTCTTTCTCAAACAAGCAAAAGCTGAAGGAATCTATCACCACCAGGCTGACCCTTCAAGAAATAACTAAGAGAGCCCTATACCTAGTAGCAAAAGATAAATATCTACCACCATGAAAACACATCAAAGTATAAACCCACTGGTAGAGCAAATACACAAATAAAAAAGAGAAAAGATTTAAATGTTACCACTATAGAAAAAAACCAACCACAATGAAAAATAATATGAGAGAAACAAAGGAAGAAACGCTACTCAAAAACCAGAAATCAATTACTAAAATGACAGGAATAAGCCTGTCATATCAATAATAACTCTGAATATAAATGAATTAAACTTTCCACTTAAAAGATACAGAAGGCTGAATAAATTTTTTTAAATGATCCAACTATATGCTGCCTACAAGAAATTCATCTCATTTGTAAAGACAGACTGAAAGTAAGTGATAGAAAAAGATATTCCAAGTGAACAAAAATCAAAAGCAAACAAGAACATCTATCCTTATAACAGATTAAACAGACTTTAATTTAAAAATAATAACAACAAGGTCATTATAAACTGATAAAAAGATGAACTCAACAAAAAGATATAACATATCTTTTTCTAAACATATATGATCCCAACACCAGACCACTCAGTTCTATCAAGCAAACATAATCAGACCTAAAGGGAGGGACAGAATCCAATACAGTAAGCGCTAGGGACATCAACACCCAATTCTCAGTATTACACAGATCATCTAGACAGAAAATTAACATAGAAACACTGGATTCATGGGAGGCCGAGGCGGGTGGATCACGAGGTCAAGAGATCGAGACCATCCTAGTCAACATGGTGAAACCCCGTCTCTACTAAAAATATAAAAAATTAGCAGGGCATGGTGGCGCGTGCCTGTAATCCCAGCTACTCAGGAGGCTGAGGCAGGAGAATTGCCTGAACCAGGAGGTGGAGGTTGCGGTGAGCCGAGATCGTGCCATTGCACTCCAGCCTGGGTAACAAGAGCGAAACTTTGTCTCAGAAAAAAAAAAAAAGAAAAAAGAAACACTGGATTCAAACTGCACTTTAGACCAAATGGGCATAACCTGTTGGATGAAATAGGTAAGAATACACACTCTTCTCATTATAAATTTTAAAAACTTTTAAAAATCAACAAATTTTTTAAATTCAAAATCTATCAAGTATCTTTTCTGACCACAATGGAATGACACTAGAAATTAGTAAGTCTCTACTAAAAATACAAAAATTAGCCAGGCGGGGTGGCACACACATATAATCCCAGCTGCTCGGGAGGCTGAGGCAGAGTAACTGCTTGAACCCAGGAAGCAGAGGTTACAGTGAGCCGAAATTGAGCCACTGCACTCCAACCTGGGTGACAGAACAAGATTCTGTCTCAAAAAAAGAAAAAAAAAAAATCAGTAACAAAGAAAACTTTGGAAACCGTACAAAATACATGGAAATTAAATGGGTCAAGGAAAAAATTAAGGAGGAAATCAAAAATGTTCTTGAAGCCAGGTGTGGGGACATGTGCCTATAATCCCAGCTACTCAGGAGGCTGAGGCAGGACAATCGTTTCAGCCCAGGAGTTCTGCAGTGAGCTAGGATCACACCACCACACTCCAGCCTGGTTAACAGAGTGAAACTGTCTCTAAAACAACAACGAAAAGTTCTTGAAACAAATAAAAGTCAAAAAACAATATACCAAAACCTATGGAATATGACAAAAGCAGTGCTGAGAAGTTTATACTAATAAATGCCCACATCAAAAAAATAGAAATATTTCAAATAAACAATCCAACAATACAGCTTAACAAACTAGAAAACCAAGAATAACCTAACCCAAAATTAGTAGAGGGAAAGAAATAATAAAGATCAGGATAGACTGAAAAAGAAAAACAATACAAAGGATCAACAAAATTAAAACTTGGATTTTTGAAAAGAACAAATCAATAAACCACTACCTTGGTTAACCAAGGTAGTGGTTAAGGTAACCAATGAAAAAAAGAAGACCCAAATAAATGAAGTCAGAAATGAAAAAGGAAACATTACAACTAATACCACAAAAATACAAAAAAAAAACATCAAGTTATTATGAACAACTATACACTAATACACTAGAAAACCTAGAGAAAATGGATAAATTATTAGACATACACAGCCTGCCATGATTGAATCAAGAAGAAACAGAAAACCTGAACAGACCAATAATGAGTAATAAGATTGAATCAGTAATTAAAAAAAAAAATCTCCCAACAAAGAAAAGTTCAGGATTGGATGGCTTCATTGTCAAATTTGACCAAACTTTTTTTTGTTTTGTTTTTAAAGACAGAGTCATGCTCTGTTGCCCAGGCTGCAGTGCAGTGGCACGATCTTGCCTGACTGCAACCTCTACCTCCTGGGTCCAAGTGATTCTCATGCTTCAACTAACCGAACAGCTGGTATTACAGGCATACACTACCATGCCCAGCTAATTTTTGTGGGTTTTGTGTGGGTTTTGTTGTTGTTGTTGTTGTTGTTGTTGTTTGTTTTGAGATGGAATCTCACTCTGTTGCCCACGCTGAAGTGCAGTGGTGCAATCTTAGTTCACTGCAATCTCTACCTCCCAGGTTCAACTGATTCTCCTGCCTCAGCCTCCCAAGTTGCTGGGATTATAGGCATGCACCATGACGCCCAGCTAATTTTTGTATTTTTGGTAGGGATAGGATTTCACCATGTTGGCCAGGCCGGTCTCAAACTCCTGACCTCAGGTGATCCACCCACCTCGGGCTCCCAAAGTGCTGGGATTACAGGCGTGAGCCAGCACACTCGGCCAGAAATAAGTGTTTTAAAACATAGGATTATATATACAGGCATACATATATACATGTATAAAATCTGCATTTGTCCCTAACAATGCAATTTAAACAACCTTATATATCAATATATATACTTCTGTAACATAATCTTTGCAATATAGTATTACATTGGGCAGGTAACGTAATTGCTAAGTTAAAATCTAAGGGGTTTTTTTCCAATTTACACTACTCATTCATATATGGAAGCTAAATAAGTTCATCTCATGGAGGTAGAGTAGATTGATAGATACAAGTGTCTAGGAAGGGTGCTGGGAGTGGTGGGGGTGAGGTGGTGAGGGGAAGAGAGATTGGTGAATGGGTTATAAATATAGCAGAGTAGGCTGACTATAGTTAGCAACAATGTTGTAAATTTCAAAATAGCTAGAGCAGTGCCACACACTGCAGCCCCATGACCTGATATGCAACACAGAAAGATTATCACTACCTGCTACTCAAGTTTCCTTTACTTCAAAATAAAAAATAGTAGTACTCCAGTAAAACATTTCTGTTTTCAGACACAACCGTAGTCCAAACCATGTTCTCCAAGATCCTACTCTCTGAGCTGCTTTACCTGTGGCTGTATTTCCTCTGGAATCGCCTAACCCAAGCGGCCTGCTATAATTGCTAAATACAGGGTGGCTATAGCAAGCTTCTTGAGAAAACTGCTTTATAGGACTCTCAAAACAACAAAGATTCTGGATAACATGCAGGGGTTAGCATATCCCTATAATATATCATGGTTTTACTCTAGCACAGTTGTTACCAAGTTGATCAGAAACACTTATGGAACTTTTAAAAAGAGTTTGCTGGGCTCTGTACTCTTCCAAGTATACCTTCACTCAGCCACACTCCCCTGAAGACTAACTGAGTAGGTCTATAGTGAGGCTGAGTAAAAAAAAAAAAAAAAAAAAAAAAAAAATTACCTAGATCCTTGCTATTCAAAATGTGGTCCAAGTATCAGAAGCATCAGCATCAATTGGGAGCTTATTAGAAATGCAGATTCTCAGGTCCCATCATACCTACTGAATACAAACCTGCAGCTCAACAAGATCTCCAAGTGATTAATACAAACATTCAAGATTTGAAAGAACTGCCCTACATGATTCTAATGTGTAGCCAAGTTTCAAAAGCAGTGCTCTTCTTAACCCTCTAGTTCTCAAAATATAAAATCAAGTATATGAATACAGGTAAAATGTCCTTTAATTATTGCAAAGAGGCTAAGGTGAAAATCAAAAGCAATTCATTTTTAGGGGATCCCAATCATGTTCCATAGCTACCACAATTTCACTTACCCTTGCATTACATATGGAAACTGGTGACTCTGTGCTGGGTCAGTTTGTACTTGTGGAAGGGTACGCTGCCTCAATCCTTCCGAGGAAGAACTCGCAGCTAAGGACGAGGTTTCTTGACTGGATGATGGAGTTGTTGATCCTGAATGATCTGAACTCTACAAACAAAATGTAATTTTTAAAAGGAGATTTAGTTCTTTACAAAATTACAGGCACATTACTAAAAATGTATTCATGAAATCCCTCTGTAAAATAACTAAATTTCAGAAATTTGCTGTTTTAAATCTTGTGTCCAGCATAATAGATATTTTAATTTTGATAAGTCAAAACTTATCAAAACTACTTAATTAAATTACAGTATTTCATTTTTTCAACTAGAAATGGCTGAGGAGAATAATAACAATATATATATAAACAGCATATTAAATTCTGAGGATTAAACTAATGCATAAAAAGCTCTTTTCGCATGATTAAATTAATGCATGCAAAACTCCTTTCATGATGCCTAACACATAGAAAGCGCTCAATAAATGGTACTAATTACTGAGTCATTTAAACAGTTACTATGTTCCAAGTACTTTATAACATGCTATTGGTAGCACATTGGTTTAAAATAATGAGAAACAGGCTAAAAATCAAAACATCTAAAACCTAGTGTTACCTCTGACATTGACAAGTATAAGCTTAAAGGTTCACTTAACCTCTCAGAGTCTCCACTTTCCTACAGAAAATGAGATTGGACTAAATTTTCAAGATTCCTTTCAGTTCTAAAATTCTATTAATTTATAGAAATCACCAACAAATACTGCTTTTCTAGAAAATGAACTACTAGAATCAAGGTGTTAATCAGGATTTTTTTATTCTCATGCTCAAATGATGTCAGTAACTCATGGATTCAGTAACCTTTAAACAATATAACTCCCTGAAGACCATCCCAGTTTGTTTGAAAACAGTTTGTCAAGTGTTTCATGTACATTTAAAACATAATTACATTTTACATAAATGACGGTTCTTCCACTTTGAAAAGCTAGATATAGTATTATTTTATTTGTTAAATTGTATTTGACCTGTACTGCCTTCTTATTAACAGGATGTCTTTTTGCAAGTCTTCCACTAAGTCCTGCCATGTGAAAGGTCCAAAGCATACCAGTCTTTTGTAAAACTAACAAAAACTTTCTTTAAAATGTTACTTCACACACAATAGACAACAAATATCTTACTAAGGAGTCTGATTCTTAGGAATAGAAACTGGGAAAGGCTTCTTTTTCAGCAAGATTTCTCATTAAATGGGCCATCATAATATGGTGTTCATTAATATAACTATTAGAAGAAAAGCCTAGTCATTTGGCAGCACAACCTAATTTCTCTAGAACTAATGATTTCTGACCTTATTAGGTAATTATTTTATGATTAGATCTTTAAAACATTTAAATCCCTTGAAATTTCTGAGCCATGAAAAATTAAGGTGAATTCAACTTAACATTCCTTTGATACTTTTCAGACTTTCGTAACACTGAAAAAAACAAATACACACGCTAATGACACAAAATCATGGCTGAGGAACCCACTGGACAAGCCAAAGTCAGAGGGTTCTTTCCCAACAAAAATTGGAGCAATGCAACTGTGTCCATCGACTACAAAAAAATACTCTGTGCCAATGCCAATGTCTGTGGCTTTCCATGCCGAGGCAGAAAACATATAAAGATCCTTGGGTGTTTTGATAAAGCATATTTGATTTAGTTTAATATAAGCTAATTTCCCATGACTGGTACTAGAAAATACTTACCATTAAGGGAATACTAATGAAATACAGCAATTGTGGGAGCTAGTTTCTTGAAGCAGCAGTTAACTGGTATCTATGGAGAGAGCAATCAACTAGTTCCCAACCCTGTCACTCATGCCCTCTTTCAAGCTTTGGCTGGATTTTTAAAAAGGAAAGCATACTTAGCAGTATAAAAGTTCCCTGCCTGCTCAAGAAGTTGAAAGCAAGCTTCCACTCATCCAATCCTCACACCCGCAAAGGTGTCACAGAAAGCTCTTAAGGGAAATCAAAAATAACACAATTTTTGGATTGGGAACAATGTCTTTGAAATGTGTTGAAAATGTCTAAATTGAGAAGACTGACTACTACAAAACATTTCCAAAACAATTTTAGGCAGATGGAAAAATAAGGATGGAGGAATGAATACCCAAGTTGGAAAGACATTAGTACATTAAGTATTTCCTCCCCCAGCAGGTGGAATGTATGCGCAAATCCAGTCATTCTAAAAACAAAATCCTTGACCAACCCATCTACTTCAAGAAGATTTAGGGTACTTAAATTTTAAACAATCTAATCCACCTTGAATCAAATATACTACTTTAAATACCTTACATATTTCTGAAACATCATTGGCCTAAGAGTTTATATTATATAACCATAAACATAATTCTGTTTTCTGAGTACTCCAGTAATTAAATATTTGAAAATTAAATCTATTACTGACCTGCCATACGCAAATTATAACTCATGTTGAATAGACTTCAAGGGATAACACTGGGTATTAGACCTTTCAAAACGGTAAATTTTACAAAATGCCTAACTTTAATTCAAAACACAATCTCAAAATCCACAAGCTCCAATCGTTTTTCATTTTTTAGAGGCAGATAATAATAATAATAATAATCAGAAAACTTCAGCGTTTACTCCTCCCAAAACAACTCACAGAATTGCTGCTGGATGCCAATGCTTCACGACTTTCTCTATTGGTGCTGGATTTTGGAGAACTGGGAGGAGTCCGAGAAGTACATACTAGATGAACCATATGATACTCATCTTGCTAAAATTAAAGAAGATTACATTTAAAGGGTAGTACTAGAAGCTGTACAGTTCAAAAAGTCAGTAAACTGAAATACTTAAAACGTAGGTCCCTTTCTAGCCTACCTATTCTATTAGTGATTTGAAGGTAAGTTTGTCATTTTATTTGGGACCCTTCTGAATTCAGTATTTTCTCCATGTTTGGAAAATGATCTAAATATTCTGCAATTGCTGTATTAAAAAATTATTTTGCATACGAAGCAGTCTTAAAGCAAACAATGTTGTTAAAGTTGTATCAGCACAATCTATCATTTCAGCACAAAAACATCTAGCACCTTAAACTTTGTACAGTTTACATATTTCCATCACTTGAGACTTGGCAACTATAAAAGAAACTCAACTTCATCATAATCTCATTTGCCTTAATTTTAGCAAAGTTGATTTTTTTTACTCTTTTTTGAGTCAAAAACTATTTTTATCTATAACACCTATATGCAGATATAAAGCATACATTTAAACTATATTCTGTAAATATCTCATGTTTTTCTATAAACCTACAGATAGGACTGAAGAAAAATATTCTAAATAACGATTAGGGTTGGCATTTTAGCTCAGTGAGATTATGAGCATATACTTAGACATAAAGCTAGTAAGATGGGAAAAGTAAAGAAGGAATAAAGGAGGACAGAGAACAATGAAGGGTGAGTTAGCAATTAAAAAAAAAAAAAAAAGAACCAAATAACAAAGGAAAAGGAGTAGGAAGAAAGATACCCAAATGGTGAGAAAGGGAAACAAAGCTACTAGAAACTATGAATGTATCACTTGCCTACCATGAACCTATAATTGTACTTAATTTGAAGGCAAATTCAAGTAAGGGTACAAGGCCCTTCCTTAAAGAGGCTCATGATATTGTTAAGACATTAGACTAGTACACTACAGCACAATTACAGAAACATAGAGAACAGTCTTTTGCATGAAACTGAGAAGCCCAACCTTAACTGCTTTAGAAGTTTGGAGGAAGAAGTTACTAAGGGATAGAATGCTAAAGAAAGGTTTCAAAGACAGCACAACAGAAGGTAAACCTAGCAAAGCAGGTTGAAAACACTCCTAATTTACAATGTCCCCCTTAGCTTCTGAATACAGAATATTAAAAAGCATACAAGTATAAGACGTTGATCCTTAGAAACCTAGCTTCAAAAGGTCATTATTAATCACAATTAATTCACAGAATTTATCTTGGGAATGTTTCTATAACACATTTTATACTAAATAGGTAAAGCTAATGGCAGCATTTAAACTGAAAAAAGGGTACACTAACTTTAACAAAAACAATTGAAAGAACTATTCAAAATATAAACTTACTACTCAAAATGTTTTACATGGGCGCACAATAGTTCTTTGACTGAAGCAGTTTTTTATTTTAAGTTGTCTGGCCTGAAACCATTTCTGACAGCAAAAATCTTTCAAAAGTCTTCATGTGCAAATTTAAGCTATCTTTGGGGCAAAATATCTAATATATCTGTATTTCAAAGAACACATAGCAGAAAGGACTATATTGAAATATATTTTAGTTCTGAGCACCAGCATAGAAACAAGAAAAAAAAATAGCCAGAACACAGAGGTTTTTAGGGCTATTCTGAAAGACACTATGCTGGTGGAGACATGTCATTACATATTTGCCAAAACCCATAGAATGTACACCAAGAGTGAACCCTAATATAAACTACAGACTTTGGGTGATAATGTATGTCATCGTAGGCTCACTGATTGTAACAAATGTACCACTTTGGTGTGGGATGCTGACAGTGGGGCAGGCTGTGACTATGTGGGGTCAGGGAATGTATGAGAAATTGCTGTACCTTCTGTTCAATTTTGCTATGAACCTAAAATAGCTCTAAAAACTTGTTTAAAAAAGAGAGGAAAGAAAGAAAAAATAATAATCTGCTGCATTAATTCCACTATTTTTGGGGGAATGGGTATTACACTATGTTAGCAATTTGAAACTATGTAATTAAAATAACAGCAAGAAGTTACATTGGCAAAGCTAAAATGTCAACTGTCTAAGCAGAAGGAAAATACTAATATTTTTTAAAGTTTTCCACAGGTGATCATAAAACATACAGGAGAAGATACAGATCTTCTAAATTAGATAAGGAATAACCACAACAATAGTTAAGTCAAAGATCTAAGGCAAAACATAGAAGCTATTCAATTCTGCTATACTCACCAACAAAAAGCAATATTTCAAATGCTGAAAAGCTCTATAAGTATAAATTCCACAAATGAACATGAGCTAAAAGCTACCACTAAAATAACTAGCCTTCAGGCTGATTTTATTGAAAAAACTGTATTGAAATATATTTTAGCTCTGGGCACCCACAAAGTTTGCTAACTGATGGACCAGTTAATTTCCTCCTGAAATTAAACTCCCAACTCAAGCAATTTGTATAAAAATATTATGCAACTGGCTAAAAGGAAATTTAGACGAAAGATTGTTATCAATGAAAATCCATCACCACTACTAACATTCTCCTCTTGCACTAACGACGTCAACAGCATTTTCTTACAAAAAAAATGACAAATACCTGAACACAAATACATAATCCTACTTCAGACTTAGCTATCAGATGGATATACAGAACTGTTACGTAAACTAATAAGAAACTATCATGTTACTTTCTAATTTATCTTCACTTATGTTACCCAAAGGGATCGATTTTAAGTATCTAAAACCTAAACTGGTTGAATAAAACTTCAGAACATATCTCCTCTCACATTCTGAATGTATCTGGTATCAAATAGTGGTAGAAAAGCTTACTTTTCTGAGAATGTCTTTCAGCTGCAGATGATCGGGAAGCAGTCTGCCCGAATACACCAATCTTTGATCCTTCGTCAACTAAGAAATGGGACAAAGACAAGAATTCAACTTTTCTAATTATACAAATTGAAGGTTGGGAATAACATGCCTAATTATGGGTAAAATAAAACTCCCTTTAGGCACATGTAAACAGAAAATTGACACAATTTAAGAATTTTTCATTTTCCAAATTCTACTTAAGAAAAAACATTGAGGAGTTCAGCAAATGGTAGCGTATCTATTGTAGCTACAATAAAATACAGATTAATTAATACATTTAAAAAAACCTAAGTAGGGGGGAAATGTAGGTAAATTGGAAGTCTGTCTTTTCAAGCATAATGCAATGCATATATGACTATCATTAAAAAATCTTCAAGACTATATAAATGAGAAAATGGCCTTATATTAAGCGTCAATAGTAGCATACAATTTCGAGGTCATCAGAATTATTTTGCCTTATTTTGTCAATTTTTCATCTAAATGATACATAAGACTCATCTTGTTCTTTACTAATATCATGCAGAACCATTTATTGGTTTTAATTCAAGAGCCATTTAGATTTAGTTATAAATTTACTTACTATTCTAGTTATTATTCCTGCCACTCTCCCAAATACCTTTGTATGTTTTTCAAAAACACAAGACTAAAGAAAAATCAACACAAGTGCATGGAGAGTCAGACACCATCTCTATGTGCATCCAGAATATAAAATTATTTAAAATTAAAGCATTTGCACATATTCCACATAAGGCCTATTTCATAACTGCAAAACAAGTCAATGTTCTTTGAATTTTATCAAAGCAAATACTAGCTATATCAACAACTGTTAAATATGCCAAATCCAAGCCACAACTACAACAATTTTTAAGACTCACCATGGCTACTACAAAAGGGTCTTCTTATATTAAAAGTAGCCATAACAGAAACTATCATACTAAGATCTGTGGTTCAGGCATCCTTACACACAAAAGGCATAGCTATCCTTCCAAGATACTTAACATTACACATACTCCAGTTTCTCCTGGAAGCATTTTGGAGTGTGCCATTCCTCAAATTCACATGTACAAACTCCTATATATGAATAATCAAATACAATGCACAGAAGGTTTTTAAAAATATCTAAGTCTTACAACATATATATATATATAGAGTGGAGCACTGTGGTACTATAAAATGTATTTGGTTTTCACGCTGCTTCCTGCTGAACAGCTCCTAAAATCCTTGGAATCTTCAGAAAGATGAGTATCTTTTGCGTGCTAATAAGATCAATGCTGCTGGGATCCCCTACGTTGCCTCAGGACGGTGGCTGGCTGCCAGGAGAACCAACCAAAGATTAGAAGGTTGGAATTTTCAGTCCCACCCCCACCTCCAATCTCCAGAGAGGGAGAGTTGCTTAAGGTTGAGTTGATAAACCAATGGCCAATTATTTAATCAATCATGCCTACCTAACGAAAACCCAAAAGGACTGAGTTCTGAGGGCTCCAGAATAGTGGAGTAAGTTGAAGTTCCTCCAGAGTGGATGGGCCCAGAAAGGGCACGGAAGCTCTAAGTCCTTTCTCCCAGACCTTGTCCTCTGCATCTCTCTTCCATTTGTATCCTTTGTAATAATATCCTTTATAAGTGCGCAAATATAAGCAACATGTTTCCTTGAGTTCCGTGAGCTGCACTAGCAAATTAATTGAATCCCAGGAGGGGGGTCACAGGAACCTCAATTTATAACCAGTTGGTCAAAAACACAGCCCACAACCTGTGCTTGGGACCACATATGAAGGGGGGCAGTCTTTTGGGATTGAGCCCTCAACCTGTAGAATCTATGTCCAGGTAGATAGTGTCAGAACTGAATTAAAAGGACATTCAGCTGGTGTCCACTGGAGAATTATCTGCAGAACTGCTTGTTGTTGGAGAGAAATCCCCACGTATTTTGGTGACTAGACATTACAGAAGTATTCTGTATTGAGCGTTGTGAGAGCATTATAGGAGAAACTAAGTTTGTTTTTTTCCTATATCCTTATAGGCACTGAATGGCAAACTTTATGACCGTAAAGTTGAATGCTAAGTATATAATCAATTATTTAATTCCTAGCCAAAATGAATTATCTAATAATGCTTTATAAATCTCTATAATGTACTGATTACAATTGGAACCTAAAGAAGTTTTTTCAATAAGTATTACAGTCATCATAAACTGTCGCTTTTTTACCAGACCAAACATTTAATTAATACTTTTATGTCATATCATCACTCTATATAAAGGACATCAGTCTCTTCTTATGAATTTTTTTCCTTTATAAAAATTATCAAACATACATACAGTGGAGGGAATAAAATGAACCCCCGGGTACCATCTTCAAGAACTCCCAAGTACCCAGCTTCAACAACTACCAATATTCTGCTATTGTGCTCTCACCCATCCCTCAATTTTTTCTTTAAAGAGAATACTGTACTTTAACCTTTAAAAAAATATATATAGACAGGATCTCACTCTGTTTTCTAGACTGAAGTGCAGTGGCTATTCACAGGTGCGATCATGGTACATACTGCAGCCCCGATCTCCTGGGCTCAAATAATCCTCCTGCCTCAGCCTCTGGAGTAGCTGGGACTCAGATATATGCCACTCCACCCAGCTGAGTACTGTATTTTAAAGCAATACTACACATCACTTCTTTTAACCTGTACAGATTTAGTAAGTTATATGATAACCATGTTACCACATTCAACAAATAATAATTCCTTAATATGTAATATCCAGTACAGCCCAACTCTGCCCACTTGCCCAAAAATGTCTTTTAAATACAGTTTGAATCAGAATCCAAACAAGGTTCACACAGAGATTTTGGCTGTTATGCCTCTTTTAATCTTTTAACAATTTCTAGTTTTTAAAAATTTTTCCCATGCTATTTATTTGTTGAAGAAATTATTTGTCTCATAGAACTTTCCAGTCTGATTAGGCAAACTGTATCCTCCTGGTACTGTACAGCATGTTCCTATAGTTCCTGTACAATGTAGTTAGCTCTAAAGGGCTGATCAGATTCCAATTCCTTTTTCTTTGACAAGAGGGCTTTTAATAAGGGAGACCTCAAATTGCACCATTTTTGACCAGTAGGAGTTCCTGCTAGGTGGCTCCTGCATCATTTTAACATGATCTCTGTCATCTCTAATAGTAGCTTCCCTGCTGTCAGGGACAAAATGCCCCAGAAGTTCATCTTACATATTTCAGGCCCCAGACCTGTCTTCAGCCACTGCTCCAGGATCCATGACTCATTTTAATGGGAAATGGTATCTGAAGACCAAAATCTGGGAGCTAGGAATACTGACTTTTATTTGTCGTTACTTCTTCAGTAAGCAGAGCTAGAAAATACACATTTTTATAAACAGAAATTTAAATCCTGAGTTCATTTTGATATTTCCCATTAAATTAAACAGTATTCACTCATTTTATTTGTATCTTCTCTCACTCTGAAAATCTTTCTTGCTAATGACACTAATAAATACATGCCATTAGCAAATGTACCTATTTGTTTTAGCCTACTACATGTAATCTCAAAACAACAATAACAAGATTGCTATTAACAATAATGAACTAAGTTTAAGATTTCTTACTGATCTTCTCTGTCCTTAGAATATAAGCCACTAGGGATACACAGTCAAAATACAGTGTTTCAAAGTTACTTGAAATAATAATTCTTGGAACTGTGTCACCATCCTGACATTTTTTAATTCTTGTGTTTCCATTTAGGGATTTTTTTATAATTATATATAACAAAAAATGATGATAAGGTAAAAACTATAAATAAGGTACATTCAAAGAGGTTTTAGTTCTGTCCTTATCCCCTCTATGATTTTGGATTAGCCTTACAATGCTTTACAACATAACAAAGCTGAAAACACACATTCCTATTTTCCTCCTTTTCTTACATAAAAAGTAGTACAATACACTTTCTATTGCATCTTGTTTTCTCACTTAATAAATCAGAGATACCACTGCTTAGCAGCATAAAAATATCTTCTTCATACTTTTTAACAAATGCATAATGCTCCATTATAGGAAAGTACTATAGTTTGTTAATGAATATTTGAGCGTTTCTAGGCTTTTGTTACTATGCATAGTGTCCTCCCTTCATATTATTCTATTTATCTCTATATTTCCCCACAGTATCCTGCAACAAGAAGACCATTAATGACATTGATAAAAGTAATCTTAGTGGTGTAGCAGGATAAAAACCTAATTGGAACTGATTCAAAAGAAAAGGAGAGACACATAGAGATAGCAAATATATATAACTGATAAAAGTGCTACACTTAAAGGAAGAAATAGGACAATAGCTAGAAGGGAAATGGGATCAAGTGAGGGTCTGGCTTTTGGTGTATATTATTGTGTGCTTTTGTTTCTTCAAGAGAGAAATAATGTGTTTGTATGCCAGTACGAGTAATTCAACAGAAAGGAAAAAACTGGGCCGAGCACAGTGGCTCATGCCTGTAATCACAGCACTTTGAGAGGCCAAGGCAGGCCAAAGTCAGGAGTTCAAGACCAGCATGGCCAATATGGTGAAACCCCATCTCTACTCAAAAATATAAAAATTAGCTGGGCGTGGTGGCACATACCTGTAGTCCCAGCTACGCAAGAGAATCGCTGGAAGCCGGGAGGCAGAGATTGCAGTGAGCCGAGATCAGGCCACTGCACACCAGCCTGAACAACAGAGCAAGACTCCATCTCAAGAAAAAAAAGAAAAAGAAAAAGAAAAACTTAAATCAGCCAGGCATGGTGGCTCACACCTGCAATCCAGAACTTTGGGAGGCCGAGGCAGAAGTACTGCTTGATCCCAGGAGTTCAAGATCAGCCTGGGCAACATAGCAAGACCCCATCTCCTCAAAAAAATTTTTTAATGCAGCCAGGTGTAATAGGGCATGCTTGTAGCTCCAACTACTTGGGAGGCTGAGGTAAGAGGATCACTTGAGCTCAGGAGTTCGAGGCTGCAGTGAGCTATGATCAGTTCCACTGCACTCCAGTCTGGGTTACAGAGAAAGATCCTATCTCAAAG